ATTGATGATGTTGGTCTCAGCTGAGCACCTGAGCACCTCGAGTTGACAGTCCATCTTGACTGGCAGAGAGGCAGTGGCAGTGAGAGAGGCAGGGTAGAGGATAAGGGGGGCCATTCGACAGACAACCTTTTGAGGTGCTATTTTGGGAGCGATAATACTGCCTGAGAGTCTCGGACGGACTGCTGTGGCGACTTTCGACCATCGACACAGGCTTTTCAGCTCGGCCTCAGCCTGTTACCTGTTACCTTACCGGCGAAGTTACAGGATAAATTACACCCGGGACTGTTCCTGTGTGGAAAGCTACTAGGTAAGTATTAACTAGAAGACGGGACTGGACTCTTGACACTTAATGTGTAGACCTCCCTCCTACTTGGGTAAGTTCCAAAAGAGATTGAAGAGACTATGGAACCCGCTTTGCCCCCCCGACAGTTGTAGTCTGTACTTTATATGGAGATACTATGTAGTTATGGGGATGTCTATCTAAAACGTGAATAATGAATTGGCCACAAGACAAGACAAACGGAGACCGAGAGGAAGAAGTGGGAAAGCCACATATCTCCATAGTTGGCCGTAGTGTACAGTAAGTACAAGTGAACTAGAGTTACCAAGTTACCAGTTACCACCACTATCCATCCCAGAACTGTCATTTGCCCTACAGTAATGAACTCTCTCTGAAACAGTGTTAAGTGTCACTGAGGATGATAATTTGTGATGATGATATATCAATCGTTATTATCACCCCATTGTGATGAGGTTCCAACAGTCACAAGCAGTTCCTTTTCTCGCTTCTAAACTTTCCCGTACTTTGCTTGCCATTGGGACATGAGCATCTCCGCATTTACGCATTTACCCATCCGTGACCGTCAGACATGTGTGCCTGTGTGGGTGTGGGTGTGGTCTGGTGGTAATAAATGGACGGAGGGCCGAGTTTCCATGCACCATTGAAATGGGGCTTGAGGCCGCCAATGTTCCCACTCGTGCTCATGTGCTCCACGCACTTACGCCTCTTTGGGTTCCCCGGCCGAGGTGGTGGGGACGATTTGCTAGTGAGTCGACGCTGGGATTCGCCCTCGCCATCTGACTGTCTCTCGAACTAAGCTCCGATCCAACAGCATCCAGAGTCTCCACCACCCCCCAAAATCAGGAATGAATGGCACAATATTTTAGTATATGTATTGTTGATACCTGTCTTGTATTGATCTCAATATCCGTCCTCCTAGTCCTCCTTCTCCTCCTCCTCCTCCTTCTTCTCGTCCCAGTCTCTTACTATCGTAGATGTCCGCATTGAAGAGGTACGTACAGAGTATTAGGATGATCAGAGTAATAGTAGTAAGGTACGGCGTAGTGGTACAGTGCAGACTCCGTAGTATCTACATGTACTCTAGTAGTCCGCAGGGTGTTCCACCTCCCGTTGGTTTTGGTCTCCGCTTTCTCAAATTTCTAAACTGAATTGGAACTGAGATGTGCACCGCCGGCGCCAATCTGCTTTCTTTGCCGCCCCAGACTAGAAAGTCTACTCAGCATTGATGGTGCATAAGATGGTAAGAAATAATGACAATCACCGGTTGGAGAAAATAGGATTTCCTATTCCACCCCCCCCCCTCTTCCCTTCTCCTCGGCCCTCTCTCTCTCTCCGCTTTCCATTGTTCCCCGAAATTTATTCAAATCATCATCCAGAAAGTCTAATATGGAACCGTTCAGAAAATAGAGCAAGAGACACTTAACACACAAAAATTTGGAAAAAGAAAGAGGGAGAGAGAGAGAGAGAAGAGAAGAGGAAATAAATTGAAATTCAAATTCAAATCTTCTGAATACACTGTCAAAGACATGGTTGAAGACAGCCAAAGCAAAATAACATATGACACAGTACCTGGTCCGGCAGATTTATTAGATGATTTATTAGTCTTATATTACAATTACGACTATTATAGAACTGATTGCTCTCGACTTTCCTACTGGCACCACCACCCTAAAGTAAAGTTCCATGCAGCCCATCTCACCCCAAAAAGGCTCGCCAGGCTAAAAAGTACGGCTCCAGTCCTACTGCTCACTACGTACGGCGCTACTACCTCGTAGCACAAGCAGATCAGTCGCTCTTTTATCCACTGCCCATCCTTCTGGCCGTCTTTTCCTCTTTCCATATCGGCCCTGTCTCTCATTTTCCCCGCGACTGTCCTCCTTGGCCTTCAAATTAATCTTCTTTATTTCTTTCTTTATTTTATTATTATTCTGTTCTTTTATTATTATTTTATTTCATTTTTGCCCTTTTTAGACTCGTCTCGATCCTCATCTGGTCGTCCTCTCTTCTTCCCTTCTTTTTTATCTCTCTAGACTTAATTCCCCTCCCTCTCGCTCTCTCTTTCATTTGCGTCTTCAGTCTTTCGGTTTCCTTTATCGAGCGCGTTCTAAACCGACTTCATTCTCTGGTTTGGATCGTATCGATTAGAGGTGCCTGTCCTTCCTTCAAATAGACTTGCGATACAAGCATCAGATATAATACCACCACCACCACCACCACCACCACGAACTACCGTTCTTCGCATCAATATCACAGCGCTGTCTCATTCACTCACTCCTTCAAGTGCAAGAGACCATCAACATTCTTTCCAACACTGTCGTCCTTGATATAGACGACTTCTTATCGCCTAGTGGTCCCGACTACAAGACAGAAAGCTTCGCGCAGTCCAACAGTCCGGGTATACTAACCCATTGATATACTTATCTTAATTACATCTAGCAGAGTAGATCAGACTCTACTCGCTTGTGCAACCACAACACTTCACAATCTGTGAGACTGATCTCCCAATATATGTGTGTTGACGACCAAGGGCTGACTGAAGGATGGTAACCAGCTACACTCACAATGGACGCAACATACACAATGGCGCCGACATCGGTGCAAGGGCAACCGTCCTTTGCATACTACCCAGCTGCCGACTCGCAGCCCAGACAACACTTCACCAGCCACCCTTCAGATATGCAACACTTTTATGGTCAAATGCAACCGTTCTCCCACGCCCAACAACAACAACACCAACACTGTGTGCCGGATCAGTCTCTCTATACCGCTCAGTCTGTCATGAACATGCACCAGATGGCTACGACGAATGCCTTCCGGGGTGCGATGAACATGACGCCTATCGCTTCTCCTCAGCCGTCCCACCTCAAGCCCACCATCGTCGTGCAGCAAGGTTCACCAGCTCTGATGCCTCTGGACACAAGGTTCGTAGGCAACGACTTCTATGCCTTTCCCTCCACCCCGCCGCTCTCCACAGCCGGTAGCTCTATCAGCAGCCCGCCTTCCAGCATCGGTTCCCTCCACACGCCAATCAACGAGAGTTTCTTTGCTTTTGAGAAGGTTGAGGGCGTGAAGGAAGGCTGCGAGAGTGACGTTCACGCTGAGATCCTGGCCAATGCCGACTGGACTCGCTCGGATTCGCCTCCCATGACACCTGGTACGTATTAGTTCTTGACTCTCTTCAGAAAGATCCGTTAGCGGCCTACACCACGCGCTGCAAGAGTGCGAAAAGGCATTGGTGGATGGTCAGTAGTCTAGGGCTATTCGTTGAACTAACTCAACTGGTTCTAGTGTTCATCCACCCCCCTGCATACACCGCCTGCCAGGCCTCGGAGCTCCTGTCTGCCACTAGCTCTTGCCCATCCCTGTCTCCATCGCCATCCCCTGTTGCGTCGACCCTGATTGTCCAGCCCCAGTCCGCTCTGCCTCTTGAACAGTCCAACTCGGACTTCTGCGACCCTCGTCAACTCACTGTCGAGTCTTCAATCAATGTTGCTGAGTTGCCGCCTTTGCCCACTCTTGCATGTGACGAGGAAGAGTCGAGGGTTGTCTTGGGCGGTGAGGCTGTAACACTTCCGGTTCACGAGAACCTCTCCCCTGTGTTCTCTTGCTCCTCGGAGGATCCCCTGAGCAGCCTTCCCACCTTTGACAGCTTCTCGGATCTGGACTCTGAAGACGAATTTGTGAACCGCCTGGTTGACTTCCATCCCAGCGGCAACGCTTTCTACCTGGGTGAGAAGCGGCAGCGTGTTGACTCCTACTCCCTTGATGAGGAAGAGTTCTTCAGTGAGCAGAGCTTTGACGAATCAGACGACCAGGATCTGTCCCAGACCAGCCTTCCATTCCTGGGTGGCTCCGATTTCTCCGTCCAAGCTACTGTCAGTGACGCTGCTGAGGAGATGAGAACGAAGAAGCGCAGTAACTCCCGCAAGTCACCCAAGAGAGCTGGCTCCGAGAGCGACGCGGACTCTCTGCCCAAGAAGGCACAGGTTTCCGCTAGTGAGTCGGATTGCACAGCTTCCCAAGGATCTTGCCAGACCCGCCACAACTCGGATGCTAGCATGTCTAGTTGCTCTGATGCACCGACTGCTCCGGTCTCCGTGAACCGTCGTGGTCGCAAGCAGTCGTTGACAGATGATCCTTCCAAGACCTTCGTGTGCACTCTTTGCTCTCGCCGCTTCCGTCGTCAGGAACACTTGAAGCGTCACTACCGCTCCCTGCACACGCAGGACAAGCCTTTTGAGTGCAATGAGTGTGGCAAGAAGTTCTCCCGCAGTGATAACCTGGCCCAGCATGCTCGCACGCATGCCGGCGGATCCCTGGTGATGGGTGTTATCGATACCAGCAGCACATCCTCGCAGTCCCCTTTCGAGGATCACAGCCCCAACACCATGGGTGCGGTTCTCTATGAAGCTGCCAATGCTGCCGCCAACAAGTCGACGACCAGCGACTCGTCCGATGAGAGCACTATCGAGACGCCATCTGCTGATCGTCGAGCCCCCAAGAAGCGCAAGCGTGACGCGGATGCTTGATTAGGTCGTCGACTTGGTTTCGAAGCCATCATGATGATATGTGACCAGGAGCTCCCCTATATCACTTAATCATATACTATAAATGACCAACCATTCCCATGGTTGGTCCAACTGGGTCTCTTACGGTTTGGCGTCCGGGTTTTGATTCTGGCGGCGACCAGGAAGGTACAGGTGCATGGATTATTTTTATTTTTGAGCGGTCCTTGGAGTCGATTCTCCCGAAATGCGACTTCGAGGCACCAATTTTGGCGAAGCATTAGACCGGCGGCAAAGGAACTTGGGCGCACAACATTTGGGAGTCCACGGTTGGACCAAAATTATAGAGCGCGTGCATGATGACTCTACACTGAGGCACTGGTGATTTTGGGTTGATTTCCTTTCTCTCTCATTCCCCTCTTACTTCTACTCTCTCTGACAAACACAAACATCCTCAACTCGATTGCGAATGGCCGGCTCGGACCACCAGACTTGGTCCAGTCGCTTGTTTTCGTGTACCCTATTCCCCTCTCCCAAACATTCTCCTTTTTCATCTCTTTTCTTCTACATACTTCTCGTTTATTTACCCTTCTGTGTCCACTGTTTCCACCTACCCTGTTTTGTTCTGCTCCTGTGCAGTACTGTGCTGGCCACATGTATACTTTAATATTGATCCCCAATCGTTGCCTCATACCCCTGTGCGCATACCCCCTTTTCTTTCCTTCTCTGTCACTTGTTGCATCTACATTGTGCATAATAACCCCATATCTGCCATTTGTGTGTTGAGCGTGCCATTCGTTCTGCAGCATAGCTTGTGATAATTGAGAATTGTGAATCATCAAGTTCCCATACAGTAGTCTTTGCTTTCTTGTAGACAGACTGACGTTTGTGGGTGAGTAGTTCGATGGTCTTGGAAAAACCCGCATTTAGCTTATCTTAGCACTCCGCCTCGGCAGATCTTAAAGTCACCCACCCACTTCACTTTATCCTCCAACAATTTTCTGCTTGGGGAGTGATTGTCGGATCTTGAGTTACCCTTTAGTTTAAGGTCAAGCGAGCATTATTACTAACCAATAGTCTTTCTCTGATCTTCGACCCAGTCGCTCTGCTGCGTGCCTACCTTCATCCCTCGATTAGCGAATACTGTCTGCGGGGTGCCCGAATCCCACCACGGAGAAAAAGAGCTTCGACCCCTCATTAACAGCAGCAGCCTCCATCCAACACACTCTTCCTTGTCGAACACGCATACTACACCAGCCACTATGCCACCTCAATCGCACCTCCAACCACCATCACCACCATCACCGCCGGCTCCAGGCGCAGGTCTTAATGTGATCGCCCTCATCTCCGGCGGGAAAGACTCTCTCTACTCGCTCCTCCACTGCATCCGCAACGGCCACAGAGTGGTCGCATTAGCGAACCTCCACCCCGCCGCCAATGCGCAGCCAGCAAACACCACCAGCACCGACGCATCACCAGTTACATCATCTACTCCGCTACAACATGTCCCGGAAGAGGAGGAACAAGACCTGGACAGCTTCATGTACCAAACCATCGGCCACAGCATCATCCCCCTCTACGAGACCGCCCTCGGCATCCCGCTCTACCGCCAACCCATCCGCGGCGGCGCCGTCGACACCTCCCGGATCTACCGCTTGCGAGCCGAGGACCAAATGGCGGACTCTCCCGGCCGTCAGGACAGCAACAACAGCAACAACAACAACAACAACAACAACACAAACAACGCCGAGGAACAAGAAGATCAGGAGGAGGCCGACGAAACCGAATCCCTGATCCCGCTTCTGAAACGCATCATGCAGGCTCACCCGGAGGCCAACGCCGTCTCCGCCGGCGCCATCCTCTCGACGTATCAGCGCACCCGCATCGAGAACGTGGCCGCCCGGCTGGGGCTGGTGCCCCTGGCCTGGCTGTGGCAGTATCCCGTGCTGCCGGATCGGCGGGCGACGGAGGCCGGCCTGCTGGAGGATATGGCGGCGGCCGGGTGCGAGGCGCGGATCATCAAGGTTGCGTCGGGCGGGTTGGATGAAGGGTTCCTGTGGGGGGATGTGGCGGCGGCGGATGGGCGGGTGCGAGGGCGGATTGTCAAGGGGATGAGAAGGTTTGCGGACGCGGAGGATATTCGCGGCGCCGTGTTGGGGGAGGGCGGCGAGTATGAGAGTCTGGCGCTGGATGGGCCGGCTTGGTTGTGGAGGTGTCGGATCGAGGTTGCTGGGTGGGAGGCTTGTGTTGGGGATGGTGGCGTGGGGTTTGTGAGGTTGAAGGGAGCGAGGTGTGTGGGTAAGGATGGGGAGGGCGACGGTGAGGGTGATCGGGGCGGTCCGGAGAGTGTGAGACGGCCGGATTTATTGGATGAGGGGTTTGAGGAGGTTTTGGGGTCTGTCTTGGGGGCTGAGGGTGCGTTGGCTGCTACGGGGGACGAGGAGGAGGAGAGGAGCTTGCTTGATGTGGGCTCGAGGGGCTGGAGTGATGGGCTTGATCCGGTTCAGACTACGGATGGGAGGACGTGGGTGATTGCTAATGTCACGGCGCCTGAGGCTGGTCCCGGCGCTGGTGAGCAGGTGAAGGCTATTGCTGAGAAGATTCAGACGATTCTGCGCTCCTCCTCGAGCCGTGAGGTTCCTCGGACGACGGCTGATATTGTCTTCACTACGGTGTTGCTTCGCTCCATGTCAGATTTCCCCCTGATGAACTCCATCTACGTCTCGATGTTCAAGAAGCCAAACCCCCCGGCGAGAGCTACGGTCGCCTGTGGTGCTAGCCTCCCAGAAGGCGTGAGTATCATGGTGTCGGCGGTGGTGGACCTGGGTTCGAGGGAGCAGCGGCAAGGCCTTCATGTTCAGTCGCGTTCTTACTGGGCTCCCGCAAATATTGGGCCATACTCGCAGGCCATGTCGGTACCTCTGCAGGGCCCCGAGCAATTAGTGTACATCGCTGGCCAGATTCCTCTCGAGCCGGCCTCGATGGAGATATATGGCCTCGAGGAGACGTGGTTCAAGGGCTTTTCTTCGCGAGCGGTCCTGTCTCTTCAACATCTATGGAGGATTGGTGTGGCTACCAACATCAACTGGTGGTTGGGAGCTGTCGCTTTCCTGACGGGAGCCGATCATATCAGAGAGAGAGCTAAGATAGCTTGGAATTTGTGGGAAACAATGCACCACAATCAAGAAGAGGAAGAGGATGCCGACGACGAGTCGGGTCTGGATGCGTGGGATCTCAAGTATGGTGGACGAGCCCACGAGCAGGTCAAGGGTGTCTCGAAGCCCGGACTACCGCGGTTCGATGTGGTGCAGTCGGAGGGATCTATGATCCCTGCTTTCTTCGCCGTGCAGATAGAAGAACTGCCTCGAGGAAGTGATATTGAGTGGCAGGGTCTCGGTTTCCGATGCGATAAACTCAAAATAACCACTGAAGAACTGGAGTATGGACGTCAGACCGTGGTTACCACTGGCCAGGATTTGGGCTACATCGGCATCGAGGTGGATGCGAAATGGTCTGGGCCTGACTTCGAGTCTTGCCTCCGGTCGATCCTGCAGAAATCCACGCAAGGGTCGAAGAGCCCCCATGTAGTCATATACACGACCCAGCCATTGTCCAATGATCCATCCTGGGGACAAATCGTTCCCTGCAAATCGGCTTGGGGATCGAAGGGTCGGCAGCTGGCCGCGGGGGTTATCGTCCAAAGGCAGAAGCCGTCTGCATAAGAGCCAAGACTCGGAACGAAAGGATCTGTGTGGCTTCACAGTTGCATGCGCATAGCAGTATGATACCAGTCACGTCATTTGATAATAAGAACATTGTATATATAGCACCATGAGTGTTGATGCCAGAAAGTTGGCTCCCAGGTGAAGACAACTGTGGCCTCACCTCACTTCACTTCTGCTGTAAGCCGATAGCGATAGGGTCGGATGAGATCATTCGGAACAATCTGATGGGCTGACTGCCGTACCCGATTAGATTCCAAAGCCTTATGACCGGAGGAAGGTGAAAGAAGATACTAGGTAAAAAAAACCCTGGGAAGAAAGGGGTTCAATCCTTTATTACCATCTCCTGATGCACGCCTGACGTGCTGAGTCGGCATGTGATAAGCGAAAAAAACCCGCTCCCGCCTGTTGGTTCCTCCGATCTGATCAGCTCTCGATAACAACTTCCACTCAACCTGTCATCCTTCCCTCCTTCTGCGCCCCAACACTTCCCCCACCACCACCACCACACGCACCATAGATTCAGGGTCAATTCTTTCGGTATGACTACTATTCTTTGAGCGTGCTATATCACACATGTTGCAATGTCTAATTTCAATCATACTCTATAGTCCCTCCTTTCTTGAACCCTGTCATATGTTTATCGACATGACGTACGCGCTCTAAGAACAGAACCGGACGGTCTGACCCAGCAAACACCTATGACCTCTACACAGAGCCAGGAGGAAGATGGGCTACTTCCCAACAAAGATCCTGCATCGGATCCCGAAGCTCACGATAATCTCCGACACTTCTCCCGATCGCCCCATCCTTACACTCGTCCGGGTTCGTCGCTGCCTGTGGACCCCGGCGACCGAGCGAAGCCCTCCCGCTGGCCCCGGACCTCGAGTGACAGCGGCACAGAAGCCGACGATGAGAGTACAGGTCTTTTAAGAGGGTTGCCGGCCCCTCCGCTGCGACCGCGAAAAGGATTGCGTTCGAGCATCCATGGCGCAGGCGAGATCGATCAGTGGCTCCCCATCTTGCGCCCGTGGCCGTCGATAACACGGTCCACCTCGCGGAGTTCGCGGCGGAGTTCTGGAGAGGATGCGGAAGTCGGGCCAGCCGAGCTACGTGAACAGGAATACCGCAGAAAACGGGTTGCCATCCTACAAAGGCTACTGGAAACCGCACTACTGCTCTCAGTGGGGGTTGTTGTCCTGGGACAGGAGAGCGTGAGAGTAGCCGCTTGGGCCTGGAAAAAAGGTGCGCGGACATCTTCCCTGTGTGTGAGAGAGGCCTGGACTCACCTTTTGACTAACCCGGCAACCACTTGCAGAGCTTGCCACCTTTTTGGTCATCGTGATCGTTCTCTACACCGCATATCCTCTGCATCGCGACGGCCGCCCGCGACTATCTCGCCTGTCCACCTTTGCCGTTCCTTCCGCCTTCGATCCCGCTCCGTTGCTTTACCCCGTATTGATACCCATCTACGTTTCGCTGTCTCTGGCGCATCACAATCCTTCATTGATACTGCCTAATATTCTTCTCGGTCTTTCATGTCTCCCTGTCAAAGTCGTTCCGCTGCGCGAATGGATCCACGGTTATAGTGTTGTCCATTGGCTGGTCACATTGATCCCGATTGTCGTTTCGGAGCATCTGTCGGCAGGTCCTTCATGGCCGAAACCACTAACTCTTCGTGGCCTGGACGCCGAAGTCTTGACTCTTATTTTTCCTTTCCATCAAGCGTTGATACCCACTCTAGATTTCTTGTTGACTACCAGCATCCTTCCCGCAGAGCTGCAGCTTCTAACCACCGCTTTAATCAATCTGTACTTATTTGCAACATCCCCCCAGGCCGAAATCCTCAAGGCGTTGCTATGGCTGGGAGGCATGTGCACCTTCATCGCTTGCCGGGGTGTGCTACGATGGGAGGTTGCCTTGGCTCGAATCCCGACCTGGAAGTTCCGGCGATCCCCTAGTGCTTCGCAGTCTCCTCGCAGCATCTTCAATGCGATCGATCACAAAATCTGCCAAAAGCTCAGCAGAACAGGCTCCTCGGAAGATAATCTTTCTGATAGTGATTCGGCCGATGGGGGTTATGTGCTGGTCTCCCGCAAAACGATGTTCGACTCGCGAGACAAGACGATGTCCCACGGGCTAAGCATCGGCAAGCACAACAATACGGGCATGGAGAGTACTCGCCGGCGATCCCGTACCGCGCATCGCCGACGACACACTTTTTCGAGCTTCGACGATGTCAAACGAGCGGAGAAAGTTAGGACGACACCGGGAGGTCGCAAAAAGCGATCAATGGCCCCCGGACTAGCCTCCTTCCTATCGCTTACTGTACCTCAAGCACAAGTCCGGAAATGGCTGTATGCCCTGTATGT